TCACCCCCCGTCACGTCAAGCCATCAAAGCATTCAATGATCCAAGCGAGCAGAGAGATACAGTAAGTCACATCCCCACGCAAGATGGCCGGCAAATAGGAGGAGCCGACACACATTTGGAAAACTTTTGACTTTGAAATGAAACGTCAGCCGTATTTATTCCTACGCACAGCTCCTCTTGAATCCGTCTTAAGGGGGATCGTGTGCCGATGTGGGTTTGTAAGTACGGTGTCTTATTTTAATCGCGCAATCTCAGCATCAGCACTGAGACCGCAAACACACTTACAGACAGTTTAAGTTGGAAAAAAAACCCCAAAGGGTGGCCTGCCAGCTCGGGCACTTTGCCAAGAATGAAATGAGACACATTCTCCTCCCGAGAAACCGTAATTCCTGACTGCTCTTGCACACTTTTCTTCCACATTCCAAATCTCCCATGCCATTCAACACCACTAAAATTCCACCCACTCAATATGACAACCCTGCATCCAGAAAGCTTTGGTATTTTCCGTCGCGGCTCATGTCCATAATATTTCATGCCATTTTGGGCTCAGAAACATGATGATTACTTGAAGTTGCTGAGAGATTTGCGTTGGGACGACAAACTGTACAATGTAGAGCTTCTCTGAAATATAGACAAGTATCCTTTTTCAGCTCACAGTTACACAAAAAAAACGTTGTCAGGTTAAGTTCAAATCTGAACTACCACATTGTACATTGGAACAAAAAAAAACAAAAAGAACTGATCACATCAAATCTGTTTTCACTTCATTATATTTTGCTTCCTATGGCTCCATTTTGGATGACCTTGAAGCAACACATCAGGTCCATACGTGCGCCAAAGGAGTGAAACTGAAACTGTGTGTCATATTGTTTTGATGATTCAGTTCAGGAGAAAAGTGTCAAGCAAGCATGTTTGACTGCTTGAGGCAAGAACAACTTGGAAACACAGACTTGCCTGCGTTATCAAGGTGAGTGATAGCATGTGGGGCACTTCCAAGGAAGGGTGAGTCACAATGCCGTTGACTCATTTGTTGAGGAGACATACTTTTTTTTCTTTTACACTTCAATTCAAATTTATTGCTGAAGAGTGACACATTGTTCATGTTCAGTGGTGGAAAATAACAAAGAACAAAATACCTCGTGACTGCACTGAGTAGAATTTTCAGGTATCTCCGTATGTTACTTGAGTATTAGTTTTGCCTTTTTGAATATTTTATATCCACTTTTTGTTTTTACCTTCAGTCAAATGGACTTTTTACTTTCTTCAACCTTTTTGGGGGAGGATGACACAAACTTCAAAAGAGAAAGTTAATAGCGTGAGGTCAAGTGAAGTGCGGTTGAGATGTTGATTGACTGAGATCTTGCGGTCTGAAAAGGCAGAAAAAAAAGGTACAGCAATGACATGAAGGAATGTAAAGCAGGGATCATTTGGAGAAGAAAGATATTCCCCGGCCAGCTTCATTTAAGAAAAGAGTGACAATTAAAGAATGATTAATGGCAAATGTGTTGCCTTGTGCCAGCCTAACAACCACAAGCCACTGACTGGCATTCAAAAATGTTCCGTCTAATCCTAAAGAAATCGAGGTCATCATCATACTTTTTGGTGGCATTTTGTTTTGTGTGTCATGAGATTTTTCAGATTCAATGCTTTTACTTTTACCAGTCTTGTATTCTTCAACTACGTGCACTTATAGAGAATTACATAGTGGGAAGAGCTACTTTTGCCACCTCTGCTGATCTTTTTTTTTTTTTTTCCCCCTTCGGGATTGTGCTGTAAAAATCAAACCGTGTTTACAGTATTGCATTAAAGTTGTGTTCGCACAAACCTTGCTCAACAGCACCATCTCCTGACACAGCAAGCCAGACATGACAAGCAAGATAAATCGACGTTTCTTTTTTTTTTTTTTTTTTTTTTTAATCAGAGATTTTTTTTCCTGACTCATGCGGAAAACGCTTGTACACACACGCACACACACACAAACACTCTGTCATGTGTTTTGTGTCTCCCTCTGACTCACCTCCGGACGTGAATGGGACGTGGAGGTTATGCAGCGAGCAGTCGAGACTCTGGACCTCAACAAGACGTTTGGAGACATGAGCGGTGAGTCCACTTCCACTTCCAGGGCCATTAGCAGGAATTTGTTTCGGTTTACATTTATAACATGGGTTACAATAATGGAGAAATCTGGATAGAATTTTATTTATAGTGTATTCGCTGGCACACAAACTCTTAAAATTATTGATTTATATTTTGTTATTTTTTTTGGGCAACTACTGAAGTGGTCTCAGCCAGTTTGTCGAATATTCGCTGGCACACAAACTCTAAAACTATTGATTTATATTTTGTTATTTTTTTGGGGCAACTACTGAAGTGGTCTCAGCCAGTTTGTCGAATGGCCGGGTTTTTTTCTT